AGAAGAGAGGATTGTAGTTAGGGGCCACAAAAAATATCTTAAAAACAGCAAGAGACCATGAAAAATCAGTCAAACAGACAATGTGAAATTCAAGTGAAGACTGACCAAAAGAGACAAAAAAGGTCACTACACACTTGTTAAGGAAAAACTCCAAGAAAAAGAGATAACAATTATAAATGAATATGCACCAAGTACTGGTGCACTCAACTACATAAAACAAATATTAATAGACATGAAAAGTCAATTAAGCACTAACACAATTAAAATAGGAAACCTTAATACCCCAATCTCACAGTTAGATAAATTAACTAGGCAAAAACTCAACAAAGAAATATCAGAACTGAACCAAACCTGTGAACAAATGTACTTAGTAGATGCCTGCAGAATTTTCCACCCCACATCAGAATACACATTGTTCTGAGCTGCACATGGAATGTTCTCCAAAATAGAGCACATATTAGCCCATGGAACGTGCTTAAGTAAATGCAGAGGAACTGAAATTATCATATGCATATTATCTGACCACAGTGCAATGAAAATGGAAGTCAACAGCAAAAGAAATCACGAAAACTACATAAATACCTAAAAGCAAACAACACCCTGCTGAACATCCAATGGGTCACAGAGAATATTAAAAAGAAATTAAACAGTACAATTAAACAATAATGCCAACAAAACATAATGAAACTTATGGGACACGATGAAAGAAGTCCTACAAGAGAAATTTATAGTGGTGAATTCTCATATCAGGAAAATAGATAGAGCTCAAAGAAATAATGTTGAACCTCAAATATCTAGAAAAAGATCAACCCAAAGTTCATGTAAGAGAGGAAATTATAAAGACAAGAGCAGAAATTAATGCAATTGAGACTAAGAAAACAATACAAAGCATCAATGAATTGAAGAGTTAGTTATTTGAAAGATTAAATAAAAATGATAAAACCTTAGCCAACCTTATCCAAAGAAGGAAAAAAAAGACTCCAGTCCATACAATAAGGAATAAAAGAGTAAAATCACAACGGATCCTGCAGAAATCCAGAGGATCATCAATACTTCAAGAACCTGTACTTTATTTGTTTTTTTGTTGTTGTTTTTTTTTTGTTTTTTTTTTTTTTGGTTTTTCTTCCAGTACCGGGAATCGAACTCACAACCTTGCATTTGCCAGGCAGGTGCTGTGCCGCTGAGCTAAATCCCCAGCCCCAAGAACCTGTACTTTAATAAGATGCAAAACACAGAAGAAATGGGCAGATTCCTAGACACATATGAATTGCGGAGAGTAATAAAGAACATATAAAAATTCTAAACAATCCAGTATCACTCAATGAAATTGAAAATGTCATTAAAAACTTACTAATAAAGAAAAGTCCACATCCTGATGGATTCAATGTTGAATTCTACAAGAAATTTGGAGAAGAGTTAATGCCACTAAAGCTGAAACTCTTTAATGAAATTGAAAGGGACACAATACTCACAAAATCATTCTTGGGGGCATGCATTACACTGATATCAAAACTAGAGAAGGACCCAACCAGAAAAGAAAACTACAAACCAATCTCCCTAATAAACATAAATGCAAAAATTCTCAATTAGATCCTGGCAAATATCAAGATTATTCACCATGACCAAGTGGGAGTCATCCCAGGGATGCAGGGATGTTTCAATACATACAAATAAATAATTATAATATACTATATTAGAGAGCCAAAGACAAAAGTCACATGATCATCTCAATAGACATAAGAAAAGCATTTGGCAAAGTCCAACATCCTTTCATGATAAAAACTCCACAGAAAACTGGAATCAATTGTCTTTACCTTAATCTGATAAAAGCCATCTATGACAAACCAACATCTAACATCATACTAAATGGACAAAAAAGAAAAGTTCACTCTAAAATCTGAACAAGGCAAAGATGTCCACTATTACCAGTCCTACTCAATACAGTTGTGGAAACAGCCTGAGCAATTAGATAAGAGAAAGAACTAAAAGAAATGAAGATAAGAAAGGAAGAAGTTAAACTATCATTATTTGCAGATAACATGATACTCTAGATAGAAGACCCCAAAAACTTCATCAAAAGACTTGTAGATTTAATAACCAAATTCAGTAGTGTAGCTGCATATAAAATTAACACTCAAAAATCAATAGCATTCTTATACATAAACAACAAACGCACTGAGAGAGAAATTAGGGAAACCACACCTTTCACATTAACATCCCCCCAAAATGAAATACCTAGGAATCAATCTAACACAGGAAGAAAAAGATGTATACACCAAAAATTATAGAACTCTGATAAAGGAAATGAAAGAGGATATCAGAAAATGGAAAGATATGCCTTGCTCATAGATAGGAAGAACCAATATAGTGAAAATGGCCATACTTCCAAAATTGTTGTACAGATTTAATGCAATCCCAAGCAACATACCACTAGCATACCTCATAGTACTAGAGAAAACATTCCCGAAATTCATTTGGAATTAGATGAGACCTAGAACAGCAAAAACAATTTTTGGCAGCAAGGCAAGGCAGGGGTATCACAATCTCAGACTTGAAATTATACTTCAAAGCTACTGTGATAAAAACAGCTTAGTACTGGCAAAAAACAGACCTGAGCATCAGTGGAACAGATTAAAAGGTGTAGAAACTACTTCAAACACACTCAACCATCTTAACTTTGACAAAGGTACCAAACACCTTCATTAAAAGAAAGATAGCCTCTTTAATAAATGGTGCTGGAAAAACTGGCTTTCCACAGGCCAAAGACTAAAACTAGACCCAAGTCTATCACCAGGCACTAAACTAAAGTCAAAATGGATCAAATAGGTAACTATTAAAACAGAAACATTAAATCTGCTGGATGAGAGAATAGGCAGAACTCTTGAAGACACAGGTATAAGCAAGGATTTCATGAATAAAACTCTGATTGCATGGTAAGTAATACAAAGAATCAAAACTGGGTTCTCATTCCATTAAAAAACTTCTGCATAGCAAAAGAAATCTCCAACAAAATGAAGAGACAACCAGAGTGGAAAAAGTTTTAGCCAGTTGTCCCTGAGATGAATTAATTCTAGAACATATAAAGAATTGAAAAGAATCAGTACTCTCAAATCCAAAGACCTAATCCAAAATTGGCATCTGAGATGAGTACACATTTCTCAGATGAAGAAATACAAATGGCATATAAATATATGAAAAAATGTTCATCATCACTGGTCATTCAAGAGATGCAAATTAAAACAGTGTTGGGGGATTCCATCTCACTCCAGAAGGAATGCATATCATCAGGAAATCAATCAATAACAAATACTGGCATGGCTGTAGGGGAAAAGGAACCCTTCTCCACTGTTGGCGGGAATGCAGACTTGTGCAACCACTATGGAAATCAATCTGGAGATACCTAAAAAAACCAAGATTAGAGATGCCATTTGACCCAGCTATACCCATTCTAGGTATCTTCCTGGAAGAGTTAAAAAGATCACACCACAGTGATATATGCACATCCATGTTTATGGCAGCACAGCTTGTAATAGCTAACTCTTGGAAACAACCCAAATGCCTATCAACCAAGAAATGGGTAAAAAAGATGTGGGTTTTTTTTTCATACAATGGAGTACTACTCAGCCACAAAGAAGGATAGACTTGAGACATTTCTAGGTAAACAGATACAACTGGAGACTGTACTCTTAAGTGAGATAAATTGGACTCATAAATTGGACTATAAATATCACCTTTTTTCCCTGGTGTGAGAAACTGAAAGAGTAAATAAGGATCAAAATATACAACAGACACTGTAAAATGGGAAGAAATTGTTCAAAAGGAAAGAGGAACTAGGAAAGGGAAAGGGGACAGGAAGGAAGGAACAAGGGGGAAAATGCCATAATTTTTAAGAAGTATAAAATGGAAATCAAGCTTTGTAAATAGGGAAAGGATAAGGATTTGAAGGGAGAAGAGGGAATTGGGAAAAAAAGAGTAATGAAAATATATCATGTACAGGTACAAGTTCCCTATGGTGAATATGATCATTGTGTACATCTAAAATGTACCAATAAGCTTAATTTAAAAAAAGGAAACTCTGCCCATTTCCCTTCACCTATCATTGAACATCACGATGTTAACAGAAGACAAGGGAATAAAGTTCTTTAACTGTATAACAACATTTCCATTTAAAGTCAGAATCCTTATTACTACAGGAAAATAGAAAATAAACACTGAGAAGTAAGTAGCAGTCTCTTGCAAATTTCCTCCTGTGACATGGAATTGTTCTGAGAACAAGGATATAGAGATCAGTAAGACACAGGATCTTCTTAGTTCCGTGGTCACAACATGTAAATAAATAAATATTTAAGATTTCAAGCCAAACAGCAACCACTGTTTGGAGACTTTGGTTTTTCTGAGACCCCAGAGATTTGCTGCACCCAAAGAACTGAAAGAGATGAATGGTTCCAGTGCTTTGCATCACTGAACTACTACTGCACACAGACTGCTTCAATACACTGTAGCTTTAAAAAAAGACATCTCAGCTCTGTTCTATTGGACATGATACCTCCATGACAAAGAACAAATCCAAGTGTGTGTGTGTGTGTGTATATATATATATAGATAGATAGATATAGATATAGATATATAAAACAGTTGTACCAGTTTAAAAATGCCCAGAGTACAAGACATAAAACGATTCTTACCAAAAAAGGAAAGATATAATAACACAAAATGTTCTTTCAATAATTTAAGATAAACTAGTAGTACGAGTGAAATAAATGATAAACAGCATAATAACTAGTATTATTCTCTTACTATCTTGTTATGAATTTTGTTTTATTTTTTCATAAAATAAAAAAGGAAAATATCTATTTCAGGAGTGTGTCAAGACTCAATAATCCTTTTTAACTTGACTATTTTAAGAAAACTATGTATGAAAAATACAAAGCCTAATGCAAGGAAATGAGCAATGGTAGCCTGGCAGAAAGGAAGGAGGAAAAAGTATTACTGTAACTTACTGTTAACCATTGGTTATCTAATAATTCCTTAGCTGTGATTCTGTGAGCCGGATCTACTTTCAAAAGTTGTTTCAAAACACTTTTAGCTGCAAATAAGAGAAAAATCCTGAAAATCTTTATGCCTCTTAACTACTACTAATAGCACATGCTTTGTAATTTATTTAGGATTAAGTCTATATAACACAAAGGGAAGATACCAGGTACCATGAGTATGCATGCCTAATAAATAAGGTTTAAAGTTTAACCTTTAAACCTGGATTATCTAGTTGAATGGTTTATAGTAAAAATTAGCTAGATAATCAGCAAAGTTCCTCTTTAGCTTTTACTACCTATTTTCTTGTTTTGTTGAGTTTTTGCCTATGAACAATCACAGTAAAGATATTGCTATTTCCACAAATAAATGGTGCCTGTTACCAAAGTAATTTTATGATTGTGGTGGTTGTGCTTTATTGTTTCCACTTGAATGGACTTGAAACTACCCAGGGACTGATGGCGCACACTTCTGGGTGTGTCTGGGTAGGTCATGGAGGCATGGCCTTGGGTGCTATATCTGATCCCTGGCCCCTTCCCCTGGTGCTGCTCCCTGCTCTGCTGCCTGGCCTCCATGAACTTAGTAGCTTTGCTTCACCACACATGTTCACCACCATGTCACTGCCTTGGAGCCTGCCAACCATGTACTGAATCCCCTGAAGCTAAATTAAACCTCTCCCTGTTTAAGCTGTGGCTGTTGGGTGTTGTGCTCCAGCAATAGGAAAACTGACTAATACAATGACTAAATAGATACTTGAAATGGTCTTATTCCTGGCCAACTTCCTTATATTTGGCTTAGTAAATAATACTCAGTCAACACTTACCACCATCACTTATGGAATCCCAGATTGGATCTTCAAAATGCAGTTCTCCCTTTCTTATTAACTCAAAAAGCTTCTCTTCTGAGTTTGCCAAAAAGGGTGGTTCTCCACATAATCTAGATAAAGGCAATGGTTTTATTTAAATGTTTAAAAACTAATCAAAATAAGGAAATTACAATTAAACTTCTGCAATATTTGGAATAGTAATACTTCACATTTAAGTGAAGGATTGGAAGAGAAGAATACCTCTCTGCATATAATAATGGAAGCAATGGGGTTTCTAAGATCCATGATAGGTTTATTTTTTGTACTGGGAACCAAACTCAGGGCCTCAAATTTGCCAGGCAGGCACTGTGCTACTGAGCAATATCCCCAGCCCCCACACTAGGTTCTTGTCTCAAAACAGAAATGACTACATACATTGAAACCTTTAGATTTGCAAATGACTCAAAGCTCTTACAAGTGGGGAAATACTAAGCTGAAATCGAGTTAAAATATAGGAAGACATATGAGTTCAAGTCTACAGTATAAGTGGTGTAAACAAGGATAGCCAATAGCTTCAGATAAAATACATAATACAAACCAGAGTTACGGAAACATGCAAGAGTTGTCAGAGTCTAACAAGAACTGTCAAGACTTGAATGACCATGTGAGGCTTTTATCCATGGTAAAGTACTACACAAATGTAACTAATTGTGAAAACAAAGAATAACCCTGGAAATTTCTGTATACTCTGAGCAAAAGCCAAAAACCTATTAAAGTGGCCACAACCTTTTAATAATGGTATACAAAATGAAGGTCAGGATAAGAAAAAAATGAGATGATAATTTGATCCCTCAGTCTGAAAGGATGAAAGCTGAGAATACACACAACCAACATCAATAAAAGGCCTGGTTGTAATTCTCTAATAAGGAGCTACACGTATTTTAACAGAACATGGCAAGCCTATGAAACTAGTGCCTCAACAAGTGATCTAAGCCAAAAATAACAAGAATATGCTTAAAGCTTGAGTTCAATTCTTTAGACTATATTCTCAACAAATGTTAGCCATCACCACCATTGTTAACACCCATTGTTAACACATCTGAGGGCACCCCTGTAGACAGTACCCAAATGTACCTAACGACAACCAGACAGAAACTAGGGGGAAAAAAAAGAAACTAGATCTAGACTCATCACAGAGGCAACTCTCTGTCTACTCTTCAACTTTCAGGATGCTTTCACACTTTATTATTAAAAGAATAAAATGGTATAATTCCATTCCACTTTGCAAACTGCTATCTATTCTTAGGATGATAACCTCCAAGTATTTTAACATATTTTTCATGTTGTTTAAAAACCTAACTCAGGAACATTTTCTGAGTAAGTCATAATTTTTATGATTATGATGATGATTTCCCATGGGATAAAGTTACTTGCATCCTAGTAGTTCATGAAAGTAGGCTGTAAAATAAAGTTTTTCATTTACCAATAGGTTCTTGTTGGGAGATCAGTATTTATCAAATCGTTAGGCAAACCCTTAACATTTTTTATTTCTCCAGCCCACTCTGACATTCCCTTCTCTTATCTTATTCACATCACCGGTGTTTAGTTTAAAACTGCAATTTAAAAGGCCATAGAAAACAAAAAGCCAGAAAAACTGCCTTATGGACAATTACTATCTATTATAACAAGTACAGGCCAGCAAAAGCCCAGCTCATTGAGCCTGTTATCAACCAGTGATATGCACATCTACCAATTTCTTAGCTGCCCTTGCATTGCCTGGTGATCATGCAACTATAGCTTAAGGGCTATATTCTTAAAATTCCATTTTTTCCCTATCTTTTGCAATTTTATTTACACAAAATGTATCTAATGGTTGGTCAATCAGCGGGATACAGAATTTTATGACAGCAATTTTCTCACACATCTAGAAAAAACAATCCAAGACATGAAAAATACCTCTTCAAACTTTCCTATTATTTTTTGATACATTCATAGGAATCTAAACAGCAGAGGATAGTAATCATAAAGAATATTTATTTATTTTAATTTCACCTTGAGAAAGTATGTTATCATTGCCCAATTATGTAGAAATGAATCTAACATAACAAAAAAAAATAGCCCCCCTAGAGAAAGTAATATGCTTGTACTCTTGGTGAAGGAAATTACCTGTAACACCACTGGCCTCCGACAGATTAATGAATATATATTGATTAGCTAAGTTAAGAGTCTATGGTAAAGAAGAGGCTGTTATGATAATATGGAGCCATACTATGGAGCAGAAAAATTTAAATTACATCTTTAAGAGAAAGATTTAAAGTTGTAATTCACTTACTTTCCTTAACACCAAATTCAAACTAAGAAGACATCAAACACTGCATGGATTTTGTAATATTTCATTATACATATTATATTTGACTTGTATTGTCTAGAAAGTCTTAAAATTATAAAAGAACAATTTTAAATAATTATTTTAAATATGGAGGTTCAGAACGTTTGTACTGTGATTCTGATCAGTACAATGATCAAAAATATTATAACTACATTTATACTCTATACTATCTAAGCAATGAAGTGTGTTGACCAGTTGAGTTACAGTGAAAGTCACATCATCCAATTTCTACTGCCTCTGTATCCCATTTCACAGAACTGAAAGTGTAAGTACTATGACATCAATATTTAGAAACCAGTGAGATGAGGTACAGCATAGTGAATCTTCAGTATAACCATGAAACCAATGTTGTATCAACATAAAGATGTTCATATTTACCAAGAAGCAGAACAGTGGTCACTAACTGTTCAAAATACCTCTTAACAATTCACTTAATTCAGTTTAACAAACATATTGACCACCTCATATGCACCTATTAGTGTATCGAATACCAAAGGTGCAAAGGTGAATAACTTAAGATACCTGTTTTTCAGGAACTTAGAGTAAGGCGAGTAGACACAGTATATAAAATATTATAATATAATGTAAACTGATTTTACAATGTTTTATTTTTCAACATCAAAGTGTGAACATATGCCAACTTTCCTGACTAATAGTCCCATTTCATTATTTTTCTTTAAATACGACTGTTTTCCACACATTTTTGTATGATGCCTTAAATCCTGTGTGGAATGTAGGAAGGAAAATATATAGTAAATGTAATAACTCTGTTGAGGTAGGACAGAAGTTAGGGAAATAAAAAGCTTTAATGTTTGAGTTGGGTCCACTCAGGAGGGAGGTTTGCAGAGAAGCAAAGAGTATGTGCATGCACGCATACACATGCACACACACACACACACACCAATAGCATTCAATGCCGAGGATATCTGAGCAGTGAAGTGTGGAGCGGCCTAGGGTTACACAGAATAGGGTAGGTGTACAAAAAGCACCAAGCCCAAGGCTGGTAGGGCACACTACAGTCAGGATGTGAAAAGTTTGCTAAGCTGTGCCATGCCAGGTTGCTCTGACAGTTTTCTGTAACAAGAAGTAATTATCAGGGACTTTTAATCAGGGAAGTCATATGATCAGATCTGTGATTTAGAAGGGCAATCCTGACAGCGGTGTAATAAATGGACTTGGAAGGGTAACCAGAGACAGGGAGAATAGTAAGAAAGACCGTGGAATATTTTAGAAAAGGATCACAAAGAGAAATGCAAGAATAGATAAGAACATTTCAAAGGAAAAAATGCACAGGACTGAAGATTTGACTGATCGTAAGAGTGAGAGCGAAGGAAGAGCAAGAATTACTACGGGTTTCAGTAGCATTAAGAGAACTGGAAAGTAGAGAACACTTCCTAGACCTGGACAAACCTCTGTCTAGTTGGTGCCCACACCCCGCATGTGCCCAAATGGGCAGCTGCAGGACCAGGTGGCAGTACCTACTGGACTACAAACAAACTTAACGGGAAAATACAGAGAAGATTTTAGATTATAACAAAGGATCAAGCAGGTGTTAAAGACAGTTTTCACTTTGCTCTGACCACACAGTATATTGTTGCACTTATAGATCAATGAAAAGCAAAGCTGAAAGCTATACATTTACAGGATTGAAAATACCTCAGGGATGAATCTGACAACTAATAACAGAGCTTTAGAATGACTTCTCAACTGGTTTTTGAATCACTTTTAAAAATATATTGCTTAGTTTTACTCTAAAATCCATGTCCTTCCACTATTAGAGACTATCCATTCATTTTCCGCTGTACATTTAGCAGGTTACTTACAAAATGTACATTATGACACCTATGCTCCAAATGTCACATTGCTGGCTATAGTCGTGGGCATTGATAACTTCAGGTGCTGCCAAATAAGCAGAAATAAAATAATATTAATAATACAATAAACGACTTCTAAATGCTTAAACACAAAGCATGAAAAATGTGCTGGTGTGTTGTAATTTATTCCCCCACGGGGAAAAAAGAACCAGTAGCAGATGTTAAATGAATAATGTACAGACCTTAACAATTGATGTCACTGTGTCCTCACTCCTATCATTTAGCTTCTAATGGAACAATGGCATAAACTGTATAATTAAATGTACTACCTTTTATTCCTGTGAAATTGTTAAGAAATGATTTTGCAAAGATTGTGTAGTTATAGTAGAAGACAATATCTCAGCCTTTTCCCCAAAATAGAATTGAAGATATGCCTTAAATAGATGTAATTTAAAGCAAACCCAACATGTAAAAATCTGAATTCTCAGAGAAACTAAGATAAATGGTTATATATCTCTTTAGTAAAAGAATAATAATAATAACATCACAACATTCTTATGACAGAATGGAAATTATTTTCCACATTTTCTAAATTAAAACTCCAAGTCAAAGATAGCCTTTACGAGACCAGATCAAAAAACCACGTCACAGGACAGGACTAGGTCCAAAGTATTTGTGATTCCCCAACTCTGTGCTCCTTGCTTTCCAGAAGTATTCATGATAGCGTTCCCTGAAACCACCTTCTCCATGGGGCGCCATTCTTTCAAGGTTGCACATTTTATAAAGATTATATTTTTTTCACAATGGCTAACTTTTTTAAAAAGTCACATAAGGTACTGTGGGAACATGTCTATTTTATTTCTATAGCTAAGGATCAGATATATTTCTTTATAAGAAAGAGGAAAACAGTTATAAACAAAATATATGTATATATTTCAGTAGAACTTTAAAATGTCCAAAGCACTTTTGCATAAAATTTTATTTGTATGAATTTAATAATCCTATAAGCTGGGTATGAAAGCACTTGACTCCCTCTGTCGGTAAAAAACTAAGCTTGATATGTATTAAGTGACTTGCCTAAAGTCACACAGCTACAGGATGCCTCCCATTAAAAAGGCATGCATTTATCTTTAAAAAAAAAACAACTTATTTTAATTTCCTCCACGTGCACACACACACCCACATACAGCTTTTATAATAAATGCAAAAAACAAACATAATTTCCTTTTCTCTTTCTTTTCCTATTTTTCATTTTCTCTTGTTATTTCCTGTTTTTTGTACCTATTTTGAAAGAATAAAAAGACAACAAAAAGAAATCAAAAGATAAGCATAAGAAAAGATTTAGCTATAATTAACAACAATTTGTCTCCAAATGATTGAAAATTTACTAATTAACATTTTCCTTTAGGTAACTATTATACTTGTATTCTTTAATTGCACTTAAAAATCTTTAAATGTTGAATCATTAAAGTGCAAGTTGTTTTACGGCCGAGTGTCTCTCACAGGGCAAGTTCTGTGATTACATTCAATGAAGGCTTCCCACACTGAGGCATCGCACCGCAGGGGGTAGGAATTCCCCATCTCTACTTTTCAGAGGGTTCTTAATTATCAGGGGCATTTCTACTTGCACTGTCATCCCAGCCCTCAGGGAGGCAGAAGCCAGAATAACTGTGCCAAGGAGACATTTAGGAAGTCAGCAAAGCTCCACAAACCATCTGTCTTCTCTCTTGTTCGCTCACTTGTTATCAGTGTAGACAACTAATAAGCAGGCATAAAACTCAGGGTGCTTGGATATATTTTCCCCTTGTAACTACAGACCAGATGTCTTTTGCCAACAAGAGGATATGAACAGAATCTAAAGTAGCCTTTTCCCAAATAAGATAATGCAATTTAAAAACTTTATCCATCAAGTAGGGAAAAAAAAAAACCAACAACCATAAACTAGGTATACTCTTCAGCAATAAAAATTAATACACTACTGATATGACAACATGCATAAAGCCTCAAAATCATTATGTGGGACAGAAAAAGAACACATACACAAAAGCATATACACCATATGATTCAGTTTATATAACCTTCTAGACAAGCAAAACTGAGTTGTGTTTACAGAAATCATCAGTGGTTACTAGGACCCACGCACAGAGTTGACTGAAAGGGACAAAAAGGAATTTTCTGTGCTGACGGAAATACTCTTCATTTTCACCGGGATGTGGACGAGTGGATAAATTTATCAAACCCATTGAGCATTACATTTAAAATGTGTATATTTTATTGTATGTAAATTATATTTATATAAAGCCCTATAGTATCTCTTAAAGATGAATGGAAGCAGTCTAGGAAAACCAGCACACATTAATTTGCATGCAAAACATCCCAATCACCTGGAAAAATTCTAAGTTTATTTCTAATTAATTATTGGCTTGAAAAAGACTAAAACTAAAATTATAGTAAGAGATGAACCAGAATTAGAACATTATAACGCAAGGAAAGTCAAAGAAGCACTCATAGATAAATACACAGCCTTCGACTGCATTCGTAAGAACACAAGAAGACTGAAGATTGAGCTGGTTATTGAAAAGGCCAATAAACTGCCTTAACAACTAACTAATTTGATTTTTAAATTTGCTAGTACCATTATAAGAACTAAAATTGAGCACTAAGTACCAGGCACTGTGTTAATCCTTATACACACATTTTTTCTCATTTCATTCTAATGCCACCCAAGAAGAAAGATATCATCATCATATATACTTCATGTCCTCTTCTTTGTTTTATTTTTTTGTCCTCAGCACATCTTTTTAACGTATGAGATTTTTTTATCTCATTTAATATTTGTATCACTAGAAGATTAAGCTCTATGAAGGCAAAACATTGTTATGTTTTGTTCACTATTGTATTCCAATACATACAAAAACGCCAGGCGTAACAAAGGTCCTCAAAATTTTTGATAAATGAGTCACATAATCTCAGTTATACAGAAGCAGAAACTGACAAAATCATACGCAGTAAGTACAGACGGGTTGCTCAGAGACCATATTGTTATCACTATATCACACTGCCCTCTGAAGAAATATTAGGAATTAATAAGGGCTATAACCAAGATATACAGGAAAATCTAAAAAATTATAAATAAATTCAATATGCATATTTAGGCCAATAAAACTTAAAATCTCAATGAAATGATCAATTTCTAGAAAAACATAAATTATGAGAATTACTCAAGATGTAAAAAATGTGAATAATCTACTATAAAAAACAAAAGAGAAACATACTCCCGCAAAGGATAATGTGAACAAAAAAATTTAAGGGGAAATGTCAAACTATTAATTAATTAATAGGTAATGTTTATTATTTAAAGGTTCATGAGCATATAGTGAATTTTTTTCAATTTTTCAATGAGGCCACTATAACTCTAACATCGAAAAAGCCAAGAGCAGCCTGAAACAAAGAAAGCTACAGTAAAAGCTCTTAAATAAAGTGGTAGTGAATTGAATAAAGTAGTATATTAAACCATGTGGGGTTTCATCCCCAATTTTAAGAATAGTTTAACACTTAAAACTCTATTGATGTAATTACTTCATTGATAAATTTAAAGAGAAATATGATAATTTAAATGTGTACAATAAATATGCATTTACTGAAGAAGTTTAAAAGGCAGTTAATATCAAGAGTTGGCAAGGATGTCAATAAATTGGAACCCTCATTTTGCAAGGATGTAAAATAACTAGAACCCAAACATATTGTTGGTGGGAAGATTGACAGCTATTTTGGAAAATGAGCTTGGTAGTTCCTTAAAAAGTTAAACATAGGTTCATTACTATACTTATTAAACATACTACTCAATAATTTCAGTCTTAGGTAGCTACCCAAGAAAGATGAAACCCCATATCATCACAGAGATTTGTGCATGAATGTTCACAGCATCATTTTAATAATAACCCTAAGCTGGAGATGATCTACATGTTCATCAGATAATAAGTGGATAAATAAAAACAACATATCCATGAAAGAGATAACTACTCAGAAATATAAAGGAGCAGACTATACAGATAAATGCTGCAACATGAATATACCCCAGAACCATTATGGTAAGTGAAAGTAAATAACACATAAAAGACTGCATACTGTATGATTCCAGCATAAGAAATGTCAAAACCCTTTAAAATAAAAAAATTTTAAAAATGAAATGTCAAAAAAGAGGAAAATCTAAAGAGCCAAAAACAAAAACAGAAAAACCCCTCAAACCTGCAAAAAAAAAAAAAAAAAAAGGCAGCGCTAGAAAGATCACTGGCTGCTTAGGGACAGGATAGGGATGAGACTGGGTATAAATGAGCACAAGGGAACTTTTGAAGCTAAGATTATTTTAAAGCTGGATTGTGGTAACAGTTGTAAAACTATTAACTATATGAAAAAAACTCATTGAACTGAGCATCTTTTATGGTATTTAAGTAAACTTCAATAAAAGCTGCTATAAATCATTTTTAGAAACATGGTAATAGAGTGCATTACAAAATAGATTTAATCAGCAGTCTTTATGAAAACTGTTTGATGAAAATGAATTATTTTTTGGTACCAGGAATTGAACTCAGAACTGTGAACACCAGGCAGGTGCTGTGCCACTGACCTTATATCCCCAGCCCAATGACAATAAAGAAATTAAACAAAAATTGAAAAGTACCAAACTACACACATGATTTTGGAATGACTGAACAAAAACAATGTCTAGGACATGATCACCTAAGAACTATAAACAACCTCAAGAAGAGCCTAGAGAAACAACAAAATTTATAAAAATCCTTGAAAGTAGAAACCATGAGAAAAATGCTACAACTGAAATTTTTGGACCTAACTAAAAAAAAAAAGTAGCTGATCAATGACCATTAAGTCATGATTGCAAAAATCAAATTGTTCAGTTGTAATCCATTATTAGCTTGACTTTTTTTTTTAACATAGAAAACAATCCTTTTAAATACTAACTTACCCATATAGATAGGAGTTCCACATGTGGCCTGCAGCATGGCATCACTCCCACCATGTTTTTGTACTGCTAAGCCAAAATCAGTCACCTAGGAGAAGAAACATAGTCACCCATTTTCCTGTCCTGAGCTCAGTCATTCTGAAGAGAGGACTGGACTGTCACCGCACTACATTTACTCAGATGTTCTTGGAGTGAGGACTTTCCCCGTGTTACGAGCAAGAACTTGAATTTCCCTCCCTCCCTACCTCTCTGTGTGGACAGGAAACTCAGTAGTGGGAAGGCCCCTGATGTACACTGTTCGTGCCCTCTAATTAAATTCACCCATTCAGAATAGGAAGTTGTATCTTGAAAGAAGGCATTTACCATTTTTCAGATGAAATGTTTTTAAAAAGTTCTTTCATTGTAAAATGTATTCTAACCTTTGTGCACTTATTATCTATTTTTCTGATATTCAAGTTAGGTTCCAGTTAAAAGCACCATTATAAATGCAAATAATTATCCTTTATCAGCACTCACTGAAACTCCTCTTTTTTATAATTATTTGTAATTGGTAAATACTATCTTTTCGTGACTATTATATCCTTTGTGATTCTACAGCATACTAATTAAAACAATTACTGCACTATTAAAAACTATGAGAAGCAAATTAACAAGAAAAAAAATCCACAATACCAGAGTATAACTACAAATACACTGGAGACCTGCTGCTGCAACTACAGCCTTTCCGCTCCATTCTAAATCTTGGTAATTAAACACTTGCTTATTAAATATTTAGAATGTGCCTTTGGTCTTCTCTCCCAAGGTAGAACACCCTTGGGCTGAAAGCAGAAATACAGGCACATTTATTGATCATACAAACAAATACAGGCTCTGGGTCAACACTGACTGCAAAGTTTCTGATACCTTATGGTATAAGAAAATGTTCCTAGTTAATGTGTGATAGCAATATTTTTCTACATAGATGGATCGATTTCTTCATGATTTTTCATAATATCCCACTCGAAGCATTATGATGCACATCTTTCTCTACAGAAAATCTATACAGATATCAAACATACAGAAAGTTTCACAACCTAATTGAATTCTTTGGAGACAACTCGATTCCTTCAGTTACCAAATATTAATTAAGCATATTCGATGTCTCAGGTGCTACTCCAGGTCCCAAGAGTGAGTAAGACAAACACAATTCCTGCCTTCATGGAGTTTACCGTGGAAAGACTCAAGGACATTCACTTGTGTGAACCAATAATGCTCTTGAGCCTATTTACATTACATTATGACTCTGCTTCTGCAACAGTAACTAACTGGCAACACTTTATTCCAAAATTAACGCATCACATATTTTGAAACCACTCACTATTAAAGTGCTGAGTAATAAATAATGAGTCCTATCATTTATTTGACATTAAGGAACACTTAATTTGAATAAAATCTTCAAGAATAAACACTTGGCACATTAATTGTACTTAAGACATAAATATTAATACCCAGGAAAATTTTCAATGAGAAATACAGACTGTAGCATTAATTATCAAAAGCACAGCCAAGGTGTGTTTTTCTCTAAATCTGTAACACATTTACATTAAATTACCAGGCATAATTTTGAAATTAATTAGAATTCAGAGCATCTGTTTGCTTGCTATTAACTAATGATTTAGCACCATCCAAATGAATACGTACTTTAAAAAATACAGTGGCACCACTTAACTTGTAAAATTATTCTTGTCAGCTACAACCTTCTTTGTGACATTTTTATTTTTTAGCACAAACCACTCATTTCCTAGCTGTTTAAAGTCCACCAAAATGTATCTAAAAAGATCTGTTTTGCCACTTTGCCATTAAACTGTGTACAGACAAGTATTATCACCATTTCTAATATCTTACCTTTATATTCAAGTTCATTTCATTGTTATCATCAATAAAGCTGCTCTTAACCATTATGTTTTCCAGTTTTAGATCTCTATGTACTATATCTACCAAGAAAATAAACAACAAATCAAATGAAATGAATAATGGAAAATAAAGCAGACAAAAATAGGATAGTAAAGATATTTAACAGATTAATATTTGCTGCTGAAAATTTTGAGTGAGACCAAGCATAATTGTTTTTTGTTTTGTTCTCTTAAACACTCCTCCCTGCATTTCTAACCCAAAGGAGTCATTTTCTTTGCCTCTCTCATCTCCAACTATTCCCCTATTGCCCCTGCTGATCACTCTTCATGATGAGTGGCCTGTTGGTATGGAGGCCTCTGGCCAAGGCTGGGAATTCCCAGAAGGGAGGTGGTCTTAATCAGGAGCCCAAAAAGTTTTCTCATATCTGGAGGTCTTCAAAAGAGAGATTATTTCTTTACTTCTATGCATATGCTACTGTCAACATAAGAATTATAACATATTTTAATGACTACATATATACAAACTATGTTTCAGTATATTTCTCTATGATATCAGCATACATTTCTCCCCTCCCTTTTTTTTTTTTTTTTTTGTCTTTTTTAGACAAGGTATCACTAAACAATTCAGGCTGTCCTAGAACTCACTTTCTACCCCAGGCTGGCCTGGAACCCCCAGTGATTCTCCTGCCTCAGCCTCCAGAGTGCTGGGACTACAGATGTGTGCCACCACATCTGGCCTTTTCTAATCTTTATACGTCAAGAAAATTTTTTAAATCTCTAAAACACAGTATCTCCAGTTGAACAAGGCAAAAACTCAGGAAAGATTTTTATTTTCATGCAAATAATCATGTGCCAAACATGACTCAGTTCATATCCCAAACAATCTCATATCTAGAATTGAAAAGTTCAGTGTATATAATCCTGGAAAAAGGTAGCTGAATGAGCCCTGGGCTGACAATTATATCTAATCATTTCCAGTTCCCTTACTCAATTTCCAGGGCTTATTTTTGAAATTTTTATTGCTTCTATTGCTTTGCTTATCTTTTCTTACATAAATTCCACACATTTTAATTAGTACATCTTTATAATATGCTTTGATCCTTGGTAGGGCAAGATTTCCACTCCTATTGTTGTTCTTTTTAATTGTTATCTGGCTAGTCTAACCCATTTTAGAGTAATCTTATCAAGTTCCATGAAAATGCTATTAAGATTTTGTTTGGAATTATACTGAATTGATAGTTTACTACGGAAGGATTTACATGAGCATCATATTAAGCCTTTGCAAAAATTATTTTCCTCTGACTAGAAAGCCCTCCCTTTTTTTTTCACTGAGTTTGTATCCCTCAAATAAAATATTACTTCCTCTAAATGTTTTCCTGACTTTCCAAATCATATGGGCACTTATACTCCTGTGCTCCATGCACTTTATATGGTTCTGCATTATGGAAATTAGCATATTGAAATAGAAGTTGTTTTGCATACTCGTTGTCCCACTAGCTTGAATTCCTTGAGGAGTGAGGGTGTTATATTTTAATCTTCATAACTCTAGAACCAATTACAGTGCACTAGGTACTCGGGAAGTATCTGCTGAAGGAACCACAGGGTTCCAGTACCAGCTCTACCACACCAAACTGTCACTGCACCTTTCTGGAACAAAATTTTTCTTTATCTGTAAAACGAGAAAGTCCTAAAGTCACATGTAAGATAAAATAATCTTGAAAAAGAAGCAGCATGAGGCAAAGCAATACCAGAAAGTCCGAAGAATAGTAAAGATATTAGAATAATAGAATAAATTTTAAATGTTGATTTAAAAGTACTGTGAAACTACTCTGTATGACACCATAATGGTAGATAAATGCCATCACACATTTGTCAAAACCCACTGAATGTTTAGCACCAAGAGTGAATTCTAATATAAACTGTGGCATTATATATATATGTTATATTTGGTATAGAATATTTTATATGTTATGGTATTACAGTATATTTTGCATTATATTTTATTATATTTTGTATATAACATTTTGTATACTATGGTATATTATATTAATTTTGGGTGACACTGATGTATAAATGTGGGTTCATCAGTAACAACAAATGTAGCACTCTGATGTGGAATTTGAAAGTGGGGTAAGCTGTGCATATGGTGGAGCGGAAAATACAGGGAAAGCTCTGTATTTTCTACTCAATTTTTATGGGAACATAAAACTGCTGAAAAATTGAGGGAAATGAGAAAAAGAAGGAAGGTAAAAATATATGTATATAGAAGGACAGCTGGGATAATTGTACTGCTGATGTCTATTGGTTTATTGAAAGGAACAGTTAATACTTAAATTTTTTGACCAATTTTGCATGCTTATATCTGATAATCTGAACAACTAATTTGAAGATAACAATATGCAATATAACAACCATTGGTGAATCCCTACCATCCTGTTTAGTGAAGCTCTGTATAGTTTCTAGTATTTTTTATTACTTTTTATTCTCTTTAATGGTTTGATCAATCCTGCATTCTTACATCTGGTAATCTGAGCACTTTCACTGAAGATAACAATATGTAATATAACAACCATTATTAATTCATATCATTTTGTTTTGAAACACTGTATCAGTTTTATTGTTTTTGTGTTGTTTGTTTTTGTCTATGTTGTTATTTTCTTATTCTCTTTAAAATTAAAAAAACTGCTCAAAAATAAAGTCTAAAATTACTAAAAACAAGAAAAGCCTAGACTAGTCGTGGCAAACCTATGGCACATATGCCGCAGTGGGCTGTTTGTGTCACTGAAAGCTCTAAAAGTTCTCCATCACTGGACTAGATATACATTTCAATATTGTTAATATACAAGTGTTTTAGGAAATTTCACCTTTATTATTTATTTGTCTAATTTTTAACTTAAATAGAAAATGAATTTATTGGGAATAAGAATCAAGATAAAGAATATTTGTCATTTCTTTAAAATTTGGAGACTGAGTTCAGTTACTATATTCCAAAGGAAAACTTACAAAAGTTAGGATCAACACCTAGAAATGTGTTCATTTCAAGCATAGAAAGAAGATCTAATATGCAATCTAAGAAACAAATGAGCAAACAAAATTTAAAAGACTGCTTACAAAACAAATCAGAATGTGGTCAGAATTTTGGGGAGGAGAATGCTGGGTCCAGGAATTCAGTAATGGGCAAAGCAGCTCTTTAATATTTGAGCGAGCAAAAAGAGACTCTTTTCCTGATTTCTGCTGGTTTTGAATTTGAATTTTTATTAGTACATGTTTGTAGCAACTTCACGCATGGAATGTAAACATCATTTGCCTAATTTTGATTTGATACTATTAGCTGCTTTTCAAACTTTGAGTGGAAATGTTCACAACTGCTTCCTTTTCCATATACAATGTAACTGTATACTTGCCTTGTTTCTAATTAAAACATATCTAAAAATAAAAGAAAAATATAAAATAAATAACAAATAAATCTTCTTTATTACCAAGTGCTATTTATATAACTATGAATCCTAAATACAATTACTCTTAAACAAAAGTGATATCTGCATTCACAGAATCAGTGAGTGGGATGGTTCTCTCCTTACCCTTATTGTGAAGATATGCAATAGCTGATGCAAGACTTTGAATGATCCACCTTGTCTCATTCTCTGAGAAATGCCTTTTCCTATCCAAAATTTCTTTGAGTTCTCCATCCTCACAAAGTTCCATCACAAGGTACATTTTCTGACATTATATATTTAAAAGAGTGAGAAAGAAAAATTATATACTGTGTATCTTCAAAATGTTACAGATTACATATATGATCACAATCTTAACATTAATTTATTTATTCAAAAATGTTTTATCTGTTGTCTGCAAGATACTTTTCCTAGAGGAACAAAGAAGTACGTAACATAGTCTTTACCTTCATGAAGCACACAGTATAGTTACAATTCCAATATCATGTGCCAAGTGCTAATGACCCAAATGCCATGAGGTCATGGAGGAGGGGCAGCTTCTGCCTAAAGAATTCTCACTGAAGAGAGATATTAGAGCCAAGGCCAATGTCTGAACAGGGATTTATGGGTAGAGAATGTAGAATGTAGAAGAAAAGGCAAAGCACATGGAATGGACTTGAAAACTTGAAACAGGACTGGCTGTTGAAAGAACAACAAATATCTCTGTGCTAATAGCATTGGGAGCTTGGTAGGGTGAGGAAGGGTGGGGTGGTGAGGGGTGAAGCTAATAAGGACAGGTTGGTGCCAATTTATAAAGAGCCTTGGATATCATGCTAAAGAATATGGATTTCTTTTCCCATGTGCAACAAGAAGTCAGTAAAGACTTTTAAGCTATCATTTTGGGAGGCAGGAGGTTATATGGTAGTATTATCAGTTCTGCATTTCTAAATGAATACTCTAATGGTAATGTGCAACAGGGATCAGCAAAATATTTCAATGAAGGCCAAACCCAAGAGCAAATATTATGGGCTTTGCAGGCTATACAGTCTCTTCCGTGACTACTCAGCTCAGCTGCTGCAGCACAAAAGCGGCCATAAACAAGACGACAACACTGTATTCATGGACTCGGAAATTTGAGTTTCATATAATTTTCACATGTCATGAAATATTACTCTTTTACATCTTTTCAGTGATTTGAAAATGTAGAAAACTTGGCTTATGGGCCATACAAAAATGCACAGAGCCAGATTTAGCTCATAGGCTGTCATATACTGACTTCTGTTTACAGGGGTAGATGTGAGGCTCAGAATGCAGACAAAAAAGGGGAGAAGAAAAGATGTGAAAATATGTAGGAGAAATAAACAGTAGGACTCGCTGGCTAGCTGGGAATTACAGTGAGAAAACGGGGATGAAAGACCTGTGCCATATTTGCTTTGTTTGTTTGTTTGTTTGTTTGTTTTTTGAGGCACATTAAAATCTCTTTAGATATTAAAACAGTCAAGTCATCTGTTCAGTCAAAAAGATTCCAGTAACTAATGTGCAGGTTTTCACCACGTGTGTTACTGTCAGGCACAGACCTCCCTCCACATCCCCATTCTAACCTCTGCTGCTAAATGTTTGTTGTTCTTAATACTTTGAGATCCAAGTGTGTTCTTTTTTTTTTTTTTTTGGCATCAGGAACTGAACTCAGGACTTTGATCTTGCCAGGCAGGTGCTGTGCCACTGAGCTATATCCCCTGCCCCTCCAAGTCTGTTCTTATAACTACTATTAATATAATTCCTGTATTCAATCAATAAGCCTTAAAGCAGGAAGAAGGGGTTAACGGCCTTTCTTCCTATGCCCACAATCCTGATTCACTGAAATTCAGGCCACTTCAGACTTACGAAAGTATTTGCAAAGTATAACACATAAACAAGTCTTTGAATTGAGCCATATATTCATTGGCAGGACCATAGGATCATTGGTATATGAAATGGTAAGCAAACTCTTTGGAAGGAAAAGTTGCATTAACAGTGGTTAAAATATAAATTGATGTCAATTTAAAATATTTAAGTTGAAAAAAATAAAATGTAAATTGATCAAAATTATACCATTAAAACTTATAAAACAAGTTGTTTTATAATTACTAAAAACAACAGCACAGAGCTGGAGAACATTTAGATTAATAAGAAACCATAGCATAGCCAGACTGAATGATCTTTATTAAAATAACCAATTAGGCAGCAATTTCCTTAAGATGGCTTTAATGAAAAGTCTAGATAGACATTTGTTTGGATTCAATAGAGTAGAAGGGGGATATCTGACCTATGTGAATTAAGGAGGAGCAGCACACACAAAAAGACAATCCCAGATGATGGTGTCCTTTGCCTTCAAACTTTTCTAAACTTGAGTTAGAGATACACATCATGGGGCCGGGGACATAGCTCAGTGGCACAACCGTCTGCCTGGCAAGTGCAAGATCCTGAGTTTGATTCCCCATACCAAAAAGAGAGAAAGAAAGAAAGAAAGAAAGAAAGAAAGAAAGAAAGAAAGAAAGAAAGAAAGAAAGAAAGAAAGAAAGAAAGAGAGAGAGAGAGAAAAAGAAAAGAAAAAGAAAAGAGAAAGAAAAAGAAAGAAAGAAAGAAAGAGAGAGAGAGAGAAAAAGAAAAGAGAAAGAAAGAAAGAAAGAAAGAAAGAAAGAAAGAAAGAAAGAAAGAAAGAAAGAAAGAAAGACTCATGATGGAGTAACAGATTGGACTTACTCTTCTGCTTGACACAACTTAAGAACTGGACAAGATATATAAAACAATATTCAAAAGTAGTGCTCTGAAAGAGAGAGAGAGAGAGAGAGAGAGAGAGAGAGAGAGAGAGAGAGAGAGAGAGAGAGAGAGAAAAGCCTAATTATTATCATAGCTTCCCGTCTGGAGAAAGTTTCTAGACCACAGGGCAGAGATAGGAATCCAAGCAGGTCAGCACATGGTCTTTTCCCAAAGCTGGGAAAAGGAGCATGCAAAAGGAACAGGAGAGCAGTCACTTCAGCTTACACACATCTAGAAACAGTGTGTATTTCCACTAGCCAGAGGGAAAAACCTCATAATCCATGGGACATTGGGAGAACATA